CGGCTCCCTGTTCGCCCGCTCTGGCACGGCCCCGCTGGGCACGACCGGGACCCGCCTCACACCGCCCTCGCCTCAGGCCCACCCGGGGCCGCCTTCGGGCCTACCCCGGGGCCCAACCTGGGCCGCCTTCGGGCCTACCTGGGGCCTCCCCACTTGCCTCCCCAGTTGCCTCCCCCACCCCCAAACTACTAGGGTTGTTCATAGCGCCCTTCTTCACCCATTCTCCATAAACTACCCATCCTCCATAACCTACCCTGGCAGAAACCCTGGGGAGGTTGTTGCAAACGCCATATTGTGGCTGGGGTCTTAGGGAGGCCCAGGGCCTCAGTGAGGTGGGGGTGGACGCAGCCCCTCACCTCAGGACCCCCAGTTTGTATGTGTGAATAGCGTGTGGTTTGTTTTTTTTTCCTTCAATTTGCAGTTTTTGCAAGGTGTGTGTGCTCCTCGAGTTCCTGCTGCCCTCACTGTGTCTTTTGTTGCAAGTGGTTCCTAATAACCAGGTAATTATGTGAATGAAGAAACAAAAATGGGGTGTGGTTCGTAGTCCTAGCAGAATATGTTAATATCTAGTTATCTAGTTTTGCTTCCTCTGTTCCTTGAAATGCTTTAGAGACACGTCTATCTGGGACTTGGACCACAGGGACTGAATGTTTATCCTTGCTTAATCTGGCTAACAGAGGCTAAAACTGGACAGCTGCAGGGCAGCTACCCCTAACTCAAATTATTAGCCACCGGTTAGTTGAAACAAAGTAGTATTTATGCAGTACAGATTTATCAGAAGTGAGCTAGGAATATATTGAGCACAGACTTCATGGGATGTTCAAAAAGACAATGGTAATTTGTCTCTCTTGAGTCAGAAGGGCAAATTTAGTACAAAACAAAGTCTTTAAAGTTTCCTTGAGGAAGAAATAAATGTAGGTGTGGGTTGGGGGACATTTCTTAAGAGAGACATACCACAAAAATGCTTAGTTGCTCCCTAAAGAAAGGGGAAAGACTTAGTAATATACGTAAATTAATTGGTATGCCTGTCACTAATTGCAATGGTACTTGAATATTTCTGGCACAAAGATATGTTTGCTTAATACCAGTCATCTACTAAAGGTAGAGCAGGGTTGATTTAATCATGTTTCCTACTATCTTTCACTGATCTCAAACAGAACATTACTTGTTGTGTGGTATTATTTCCATAGGTTTCAGGGTGCTTGAATATGAGGGATGTTAAGTTGTGAAGGGCAATGTCCTATTAAAGGTACAAAGCTACAGTCTTGTTTTCATCTGGGCTGATGCTAGATGGAACGAACTGTACTAAGAGCTTGTAGAGGCTTATGCATCTCTATATCACAATAGAGCCAATGAGATATTTTATATTGCAAATCTAAAGTGTCCCCGTGAAGATCAATGGAATTGTTCTCAATTTACAAACACTGCAAGTGAGGCTTCTCAGCAAAATTTTATTTTAAATTTGTTATTGAAGTTTCAGTAGCAGTTGCATTCATGCATGTTAGAGCAGCTATCCATTATTCAGTTACTGAATATGTAAAGTACAGCAGCACAGGTATAGTTTTATGTGCTAATACATTTTAGCTTTAATAGAGATTGGTTTTGACTTTTGCCCAAAAGAGGTAGTTTGTGCAGCTTGCAGAGCACAGGGAAGAAATAAACAATATAGACATTATAGCAGATGGAAGGATTCACAGCGGGCTTGGTCAGAGATTCAGTGAGCTTCTAAACACAAATTGTTATGGGATACTCAGCTAATGCGAACTGGCATACCTTGTTTCATGCCGATGGATTTATGCTAATCTTCCCTATGTTCAATTTGAGTGTAAGATTTAATCATTAATGGTATCAGTTATTATGCCATGTATTAATAAAGGAACGTATCCCAGCTTCTAAAATAACTCCCCTTTACATCCCAGGAAAATAAGCTTTGTAATTCTAGGCTGTTAATATTCTTTCTTATACTTTTCTACAGAGGGAAAATGAGTGGAAAACCCTTTCTTCTCCGCCAGCAGTGCATGCCAGGAAGATGGGAAAGTGTGTCTGCAGACAGTCCTGCCGTTTGAATTTCAGTGAGACTCAGAGGTAAGGATGAAGCTTTGTTACTATAAAGCAAGCTAATACTGAAGGCATCCTACTTTGGAAACTTGTATTTCCAGGTACAGGGTAGTGCTGACCCAGATTTCCCCATTCCCTTTGTCTCCCTTTTGTTGCTTTTTGCAGGGTATAATCTAGCCCCTTGATATATTATTATTCGAAAAATCATTGAAGTAGTAGTGAACAGAGGAACAGGATAAAGACTGGCTTCCAACTAGATTGAAATGGTCTGTGCCATTTCCCTCATCTTTGTTTAAGACCATGCTGAAAAAAGCAGGTGGGCAGTCACTAAAGATGAGCTGAGTCACCCAGCAGTTCAGCATTATGTCCATCTGCTGATGCCAAAGCTGCTCTCTTGCTGTTTTAGTTAGGTGTGAGTCTCGTAATTTCATCTAACACAAACTTCAGGTAGAAGAAGCCCATGTCCAGGTTCTCCCCTTGAAAACCTCCTCTGCGTTGGCTGACCTAAATAATGTGAATTATCATGATGAATGACACAGAAATAATAGTAGTGACATGCTAAAATGGCAGCTGTGCAGTCACATATTACTGCTGCATAAGCAAAGCAAGCAACTCCATGACAATACACTCCTGTTCATACATTTTACTCTGCTGCATACTGTGTAATTAACAAGTACTCAGTCTAGGAATGGTGTTTCCTCAAGGAAGAGTTTAGGTCTAAGCCTTGTCCTAGGGCCTCGTTGAGCACCAAAAAGTTACTTGAATGTAAACAGAGTCAGTGAAAATTCTCCTATGCTGCTGAACACTTGGGTGTTGAAGCCTAGTGGGGTTTGCCATTTGCTTTCTTTCTTTCTTTTTAAAAAAAAATAAAAATCAAAGAATGGCTTCCCCAGCAGAAAGTGTAACAGGCACGTTTGCGGTTGAGGTGGATGGCAGAATGATGTCTGCATTGTCTGTTCCTGGTCTTATTTCTGAAACATAAAAAGATCTGTACCTGTTTAGTTTGAATTTGCACAGAAATTGAGCAGTCCTAAGTCAGAAAAGCAAAAGCATTGTTTGTAATTTTTTTAAATGATTGTTTCTACTCCATAAAGGCACAGCTCTGAGAGAATGGGGAATCAGGTATTTCTGCAGTTGAGAATGTTACATAGCTCTGATGTGCTGTGCAACATCATATTTTTTATATAATATATAAAATGAGATGGTAAGACCTGAT